CGATCACTTTACCTGTCGCAAAGCTTTAATAACGATCACTTTACCTGTCGCAAAGCTTTAATAATGACCACTTTACCTGCCGCAAAGCTTTAGCAAATGATTCCATTGCCATTGCTTCTTTTCCTGGAGTTCTCTCGGCAAGTCTACCAACAGCAGTAGCCATAAGCATCTCGGCACTCCCCCCACCAAACACAATACGGGTTTCTTTTACGGTCTGTGATAACACACAGAGAGCATCGTGCAGTGATCGTTCAGCTTCGTCTAAGATCTGCTGTGTAGACCCACGTAGAACAATGGTACATGCTTCTCCAAGTGGTACTCCGGAGAACTTGAGAAGTTTATCTTCTCCAATCATGACTTCTTCAATCAGGTTACAAAAGCCCAGCTTAACTTTTTCCGGACATCCAAAAGTAGACACTATCTCTCCACCTTCATAAAAAAAAAAAGATAGTCAAGTGAACCTGAGATACTGTCCAGAAACTCAACACAAAGCTCCTGTCCATATAATGATGCTGACGTATTTCAGACTAATCTATTTTACTGTTAATGCCAGCATTAATTTTCTATACACATTTCCACTTAAACATAGATGTTAAAAACACATAGATTATCTGGTAAATAAATAACGAATATGAACTTTTTATCATTTTAAAACTATCTCAAAAACCTGCAATAGTAAAGTGAGGTTTCTAGAGAAAAAAATAATTATAACAACATATGTGGGCTTGTATTTCTAATATAGTCTTTTGTATAAAACTAAGAAGTAGAATTAAGACCATATATGTGAATTAAAGTTGGGGTTGGTATACGCACTTCTGGTAATGTTTTGAAAATTTAATTTAAAATTACACAACTTCGGTATTTATTTACAATTGAATTGTTGATTCTATAGGCAGTCCTTTGAGTACTGGATTAATTCTCTAATCTGTAAATCATTGGTTTACTAGTTGTATACTGTAAACCTAACTAACTAAAACACTTCACTATTATAACTATAAACAATTATAACAAAATTAACGTCCTTCCCAACATCTCAATAACTATCTTCTTTAAGTATCCTAGGAACTGGGTAGTGATAGATACGTCATGTTTTGTTGCAAACCAAAAGGACCAGTTCATTAACCTGGCTCTCAAAACTTGAATTTTGGAGAGAATATTAATAGATCAGAGTCAATATGGAAAGTTCTCCACCTGGAATGTGAAAACGTAAAATAAACAAATCATAGAATAAACTGTTGTACAGTTTGTCAGGAACAAACAGAGGGTAGTTCAGGTCAGGTCAAAAGTGGAAGTAAGGACTAAGATGTTGGTGTATATATACCAATACTACAAAGTTTCTATTTTGAATATCAAAGAAGCAAAACCTACAGAAAACAAGCACAAGGTTTAGAAGAAAAATACCTGTTACTAAAGCAAGTCGCTCAATGCCGTCGAAATCTGCGTGCTCAATAGCCATGACACCAACATCAGCAAACAGTTGCTCGGGGTAGTTATAGATCAGTTGACGATTAATAAAGACATTGATGTTGTGCTTCAAAATCATTTCTACCTGGAGAGGAAATTAAACACAAGATCATGGGTATAACAGGTTCTTTTTTACAAGATCATGGGTATAACAGGTTCTTTTTACAAGATCATGGGTATAACAGGTTCTTTTTACAAGATCATGAGTATAACAGGTTCTTTTTACAAGATCATGAGTATAACAGGTTCTTTCTACAAGATCATGAGTATAACAGGTTCTTTCTACAAGATCATGAGTATAACAGGTTCTTTCTACAAGATCATGGGTATAACAGGTTCTTCTTACAAGATCATGAGTATAACAGGTTCTTCTTACAAGATCATGAGTATAACAGGTTCTTTTTACAAGATCATGGGTATAACAGGTTCTTTTTTTTACAAGATCATGAGTATAACAGGTTCTTTTTTACAAGATCATGAGTACAACAGGTTCTTTTTACAAGATCATGAGTATAACAGGTTCTTTCTACAAGATCATGGGTATAACAGGTTCCTTTTACAAGATCATGGGTATAACAGGTTCCTTTTACAAGATAATGGGTATAACAGGTTCCTTTTACAAGATCATGGGTATAACAGGTTCTTTTT